GATCACTTACAGCTACAGGTGTCACATTTTAGCATGAACTTTTCCTGACCCCAGAAGTGGAGGGGAGAAAAGAAGAGGACAAGTAAGTCTGGCTTGAAGAGGGCAATGTTTTTGGTCTAAGAGCAGATTATGATAAAGTCCCCAAACAGAGAAAAATCCTGTACATTCAGGATGTTGGGAAGCCCTACATGCAAATACAAACAAACAAGATACAGGAGGAAACATACAAATACAGAAAAAATCCTCCCAGGAGAAATTGGAATTCCTTCTGCACACTGACATTAACAGAGGAGGAAAAGCTGTGGAGCCAGTCTGTGATGACGTAGGCCCCCGTCCCCACCCGCACTGTGAACTTCAGGGAAAGGGGTTGCTATTACATCACAAGGTTATACTGCTACTTCCTTTAGCCTGTGACATCCTCCCCAGCACGGAGCGCCACCATCGCCAGGAACCTCTGCAGGAATAGCAGCAGCACGCTGGTGCTCGGCTGTTTCTAGCCTGGGGGATCAGTGTTTGTTTGCAGAAAGACCTACTGTGGTCTTCATAAAATCGTCTGTCCTCACATTGTTTTATTGTTTCAATTTTTAAAGATTTGATTTGCACACAAATTTTTAGGAACACACCCGGGAGATAGTAATAAACGGACTACCTGTGACATGTGGGGGCAGAATATGTGATCACACTCAGGTCCCTTCTGGTTTTAGCAGTCTGTGAAATTGAAGGATGCTGGGAGGAAAATTGGTAGGATTACAGTGATCGTCTGTGGCACCAGTAAAAACTGGATTCCCATTCTCGGTTATATCTTCTGAAAATCCAGTTTCTATCCTAAGTTATATCCCCTGTGAGCCCAAAGAAACATACAGGTTCCCACACTGACTCTCGCCAGCATCTGTTCTGGGCACACAGCCTCAGCTGAGCCTGTTGGATGTTGACACTTCTCTTCTGGCCCAGAAAATAAAACTAAGGAACCAGAAGGTAGCCCTCTGGCATGATTCAGATGTCTTTGAAAGAAAAACAAAGATTTAACTTTACAAATTCTTATTCAGCATGATTAGTCTTAGAGTTCTTAAAAGAGATAGCTGCATTTATTATGAAATTCTAGGAATTTATAATCTTCTCTAGTCATAGCTTTAAAACTGCCACACCGACTGTTACGTTACCAGTAAAAGCAAAGAATGAGTGTGGAAGAAGGAGAAATGTTCATCAGATGGTTTTATGCTAAACTGTACTTTTTTTTAAAATTGTGATAAAATACATCTAACATAAAATTCACCATCTTAAACATTTTCAATATGCTAAACTGCATTTTGTCTACCGACCTTGTAAACTGTCGACTCTCTTCATGAACTTCCATTTCTGTGCTTTTAAATTCATTTAGTTCTTTCCTTATTGCTGCCTAAACAGGAAAAAAAAAATAGATAAATAGATTAATAGAATTGTTATTTAAGTCACATATTTCCCCAGTATATACAGCATCAAGAAAGCAGACATTCTTTTAAGAAATGTCTTGGAGAAAGAAAGGGATTCCTAATTTCTACCAGGGAAAGGTATAATAAATGTAATATCATACTACAGCCAAACTAAAACCAGGATAGGCTTCTTTCAAGTGTTCT